AAATTTACATTCCCTTCCTATCCTTTCCTCTTAAGAAAAGGGTGAAAAGAGAAACGGACTAAAATTAGTACCTGTACTGTACGCGGAATTACTTCCACTTCACAGCACGGTATTACACCGGGCAAGCCGACCCTATAGTCCAAAGATGTTAAAGCAGGCTCTATCACTATCTACACTTTTATTGGTGAGAGATTTTGATTTATTTCAATACATGCAACACAAATCTTTCCTCTTTACATCATTAAATATAGAACTATAGATGAAACTGTTTTATGAAATGTTAATAGTTGATCACTAACCTTGAAAACATAATGAAACTTAGATATAGCGGCGAAACTGTGCGAGATGCTCTTGCTGCCGAGGTTGAGTAGCGTCTGCACGAACACGTCTATCTTGAGAGGGTTGTAATGTGGATGTGGAGCGGCGTCGCCATCACGTAGCGGGTTCGGCAACTCCCGGAGTACGTTCAGCGCTTCCTCAGGCGTGCATTTGTTACGTACGCACACGACAAGCCGATGTGCCGCCTCCGTACCGGGTAGGGTAGCTAGGAAGGTACAAATTTATGATAAAATAAAATAAAAACCCCGTTAAACACGAGCAATTACAAAACTATACTTTTAGACAATAACATAATTCTTGGTCTTGGGTTCGAATCCTGCCGCCATGTACCAATGTGACTTTTCAATTTTTCGAAAATTCATATGTACATAATTTACCTGACGTTCTTACGGTGAAGGAAAACATCGTGATGCAACCTGCACATATCGGCGAAGAAATTCAAAGATATGTGTGAAGTCAACCAACCCGCACTTGGCCAGCGTGGTTGACTATGGCCTAGTCACCCTAACTTTAGGGTAGGCTCCGAGCCCCTCGGTGGGGACGTATAGTGAGCTGGTGATGATGATGATGATGATAATTGTATAAACTTAATTAACTTGAACACAGAATGATTCTCGCCAAAATGGCGCGCTATTCCTAAATCTACTGAATGACATTGACAGATGTCATAGAGACGGGACGTGTATGTCGTTATATAGTGTTGCGCCGATTTCTTCTTAATACTTATTTGCCATTTGATATTAGTTAATTGGTTTAAGAAAAAGCACCGATTCATTAATGCCCCAATAGGGGTATCTTTTTGAGTAGATTTAATAGCCAAATCTAAATTAAGGAACACCTTTTTCGTCTAGATGCTACCGCATGTATTTATTACCATAAATATCTTAAATTAAGGTCATATTGAAATTTTAACTGATGTCTGATGGTTTAAACCCAATTATATTCATTGAATAAATAGGAATAAAAAGCTACTTTTCTTGTGTTAATTTAAATTTTATCACTTGATCAGACGTGCGGGCTGTTAGCATTGATATTCTCGCGATATCGGCCAGTGAACAATACAGGGTGTTGCGTAAAGCGCAGTTGGTATCAGTATGGTTTTCGCGGGCGTGGGACATAGTACGATTCATTAGAGTTATAAAGGTAATTAAAGTTTAAGTGATCTTGCGCAAGTTTACGAGTTGGGTACAGTTAACACATTCATTAAAAAAATTAAAAAACTCTTTATTAGACAAAAAAAAAACATTTTTACACAATCCATTGGGTTTCTGTCTCTTGAACTAATTATAACAACTGCGTATCAGGACGCAGATGGATGGCAGGCAATGTTAGGATTTTTAATAAAAAATTATAGTTAAATAACTCGCTTACTTAATGTTTTGTTTGTTAATTTGTTAAGTGGCCGAAAAATCCACAAAACATACGGCTATCTCAGATATTTCAGAGAGAATGAAAGAGATGGTGTTATAGAAGTAGGAATCCTAGTCTACAAGATCGCTAATTCGTTAGTATTCATAGAGAACGTAAACACGTCTGAAATGAACGAGGAAAGCGAATAAATATCTTGCTAACTGAAGCGTGTCAAATCTTAACACGAAGACAAACACATTAGTAATATCATTAAAATTTACACGAAGTAAAGAGCTAAATTAATAAATTTCACTTCTAGAATTATATCTTATTTATAGTAATAAATTAAACTTTACTTCTGTATGATACAATTACAACTCCTAGCAAAGCTTGCTATTATTTATATACAGTATATTATATATGTATGTATTTTATGTAATTCTACACAAAAAAAACCAGCGCACCCGCGGACAAACCAATTATATGGTTTTTGCGGGGCCATATTTGTGCTTATTTTTTTTAATTTGGGTCATGTAATATTTTCAATAATAAATAAATAATAATAATAATAAATATTAACCTGTTTTTTTATCCCTTTACCGTGTGATAATTTTGTTTCCAATTTATTTACCCCCAAAATTCAATATCGTGAAAATATATAGCCTACAAACTATCATGAGTGTAGGGATTTTTAGTAAACGAAGAAATGTTCACAAAATAAAATATGATTGCAGACATCCTAGTTAACAAAGAAGTATATGTTTACGCCTTATTACATTAGTATATAGATATAAACAAGTACAGATTGGTTTGATTTTTTTAAGAAAAAAAAATTGGAGGCATATACTGAGATGAAAAGCATGCGTGCGACAGTCGGTGACAAAAGAAGATAGCAATAAAAGGGGGAGGAAGGGGGGTGCAGTGACAGGGGGGCTCGCGCGCCCTCGCGTGGCCGTTGAATAACACTTTCAGTAATGTTTATGAACTTTTAATGAATGCACATGTAAATAATTCAATAGAAAAGCGGTGTACGGTTGTCAATTGTTTACACGAGGTTTTTCTTTTAATTTCACCGAATAACTTATTCCAGCCAGACTGAAAACATGCTAAGCAATGTGCATAATATGCTTATGCAAATATTAAAAAGCTATAGTCTATCCATACATTATGGGAAAGTGATTTATTATCTTTATTAATATAATAAAGCGTAAACACACATTACTTCGTGGCGTAAGATGTCAACAATCCCAGTATGTTTTTGAATAATTCTATCTTTAATAAAAAGTCCAACACTTACGACACGTTTTAGGATATATATTTTCACGCTATTAAACTTAGGGGTAAATAAATTGGAAAAAACCCTAATGTAAGGGACTATGAACTAAAAGCTGCCAAAATTAAGAAAACAAGGTTTTTATGGTAATGGTAATTTTGACATTTGCAATTAAGAATTTGACAATTATAAACAATAAAATAAAGTTTTTATAATTTCACGCGGATGAAACCGCACGGGAACAGCTAGTCATTAGTAACAGTAAACGATACACAGATTTGAAACAATGGGTCATTTGATTTACGTTAAAAACTCAAGTCTATTAAGGATATAACGTCCGTTTCCACTAGTTATGACACTTCCCGCGGTTCACCATAGCTGCAGTGCAAGATAATATCTCCCAGGTTTCACAACATAATGGTCAGTACATTCAGTAAAACATGGTTGCACAAAGTAATTATTATTTCGTACTCTAGCTTACGTCAGACAAAATTAATTATGCCAAATTTTAGGAAGGAAAAAGGAGACGAAATAAATAATTAAAAAACTTGAGCAAAAAAATTATACCTTAGTCTATTTTATTTTGCTTAACTTTAAAACGGATATTTTTTTAGTTTGTTTTGTGTAAATAACGAATATATTTTAATACCTATTTCTAGGTGGATTTTTCATAATTTAAAATGAAGAAAAAAGTTTTCATGCAGGTCATTACTCTCTGATCAATCCTTGAGGCGATCATTGGTAGGTGGTTAGTGGAAACAGGTGGTAAGTGGAAACAGGTGGTAAGTGGTGGTAGTCAGTGTTCGGTGGTGACGACAGACGGCAGTGTCGCGTACCTTCGACTCAGTGAAATAAAACGCGTAGAGATGAGATCCGCGTTATTATGCGTTTTCGTTACGCTATTTGTGAGTTTTTTATAATTTTTTATAAACATTTTTAAGGAGAAATTTCTGTTTGTTTTCCCGGTGAATTTATTAGTGATTTCTTTTTTTATTGTTTGTATAGCCTTACTCTTGAAATGGTCTGTATGTTTGAATGTGATTTTGTGTATTTGAATTTATTTTACAATTATTTGTATCGAAATGTTTTTAATGTAGAAACCACTAGGGTTAACATAGTTAAATATCGTCAGATATATTACGTTAATGTTAAATTTGTTCGATGCATTTTTTTACATAAATATAGTTTAATTAACGCTTGCATTACACTTATTACATTCAATTAAATTGGAATTTTACTTATATCAAATTTAATCCAAGTTAAAATCTTCGATTTAATTCATTATTTAAAAAAAACAGGCTATTAACGCTTATCTTTAAGTCTTATTTTTTTTTGCCTTTTATTTTTTTTCCATAACAATTTTCTACCGATTCGAACCTACGAGTCGTATACAATCACTGAGCTATGGTTACCGACATTCATCATCTCAAAATCAGTACAGCAGACGACCTCATTACGAGTACTTGCTATTGTAGGTCTGTGAGTTTCCCAACTACTATAAGAATAATTGTTTTTTTACACGATTATCTGTCAATGGGAAGGCGATAGTAAGCATCGGTGTTACTTGAATGATAAATGAGGGCACTTTATAGTAGTTTTTCTTAACGGTTTTGGAAAAAGAACTTTATTAGTAAACGTAGAGAGCTTTTAACCAATTCAATTTTCTGGTGAATTTTTGTTTATGTGACCATAAAGAGATTAAATCGATATTGAATAAAGAAATGCCGTTAATATGAATAATAAAATATATTTTATACTAATAAATGACATGAAAAATTCGAGTTTTCGATGCGATAATGGCAAAATTATAAATTTATTCAAAAGTAATTTAAAAGGGGGAAAATTGAAATCGATCAAGCAATTTTAAGTCAGAATTAAGATCTTTATTGCAACGTACATGTAACTTTTATCAAATTTGTAGATCGTGTTTTTTAAATACATCCATCTAAACGTCTAAGATAAAATCAGCACCTTGAATTCTATCTATTGAACGTAAGTGTAACTAAATAACATGCTTTATGCGTTTCTAGGTCTCGATTTTAACGCAACAGATTATGATAAGATATAACAATCGAACATACAACCAACCTAACAACTTGAAATTAAATAGAAAAGTGCACTATAATATTGTCAATAAATAATTGATAATCTTACTAATATTATAAATGCGAAAGTTTAGGTGGATGGATGTTTGTTTGTAGTCTAAACGGCTGAATGGCTCTCGATGAAATTTGGCACAGATGTGAAGGACTCACTTTTGTTTTTGTTTTTAATCCTACACGGCCGGAGTCGCGGGCGAAAGCTAGTTTGTCTATAATATAAAGTATATAAGTATTTAAAAGACTTTTAAGCTTCTTTTGCACTTGACATTCATCCGCATCTGAATCAATTTCATTGATCAAACGCCCAGTGGAAAGATGGTCTAATTGTAGGCAGAGACATTTTCAGCAAATGCTAGAAGTGTTCAGTGTTGCGGAACATTTTGCAGCGGGGATGCATACTGCACGCAACTGTACCGAGGCACGCTAATGCCACTTTCCCGATAATACGATTTTACTTTCAAACGCACATTCAAATATTTACTTAATTTTTTTTGTATACTAATGTAATCAATCACGACAACTGGATATACCCAAATTAATCGTCGAGGTTAAATAACTATTGACATATGCATTTGTAACAAACAGACGATTTGTTTATCTTGAGTGTAGACTTAAATGCGTAAACCTATTTTTTGAGATTTACATTTAACTTACTACTTACTAATTATTAAGGCCACGACTTTTCAAGTAAAGAAGTCTTATTAATGTTCTTTTCATACTTTATTCCAGGTCGAAGGAAATATAGTTGCAGGAAATGACTTCAGACCGACACCTATCCCTCTGGACGAATGGCGGCCGGGGGAGAGACGCGGTAGAGCAGGGACATTACACGAGACAATCAAAACTGCTTCCCCACCCACTATTGTCGCTATCCCCGCACATTACTGGGAAGATGCGCTACGTCACAGTGTCTATTTAACCTTAGTCAGAGATAAAATTGATCAACTAATTGCTAAAGGAGACATCGACTCGAAAGAGACACAAGATTCAAAACACATAGACGATCAAGATCTTTGGGAAAAAATTAAAACAGCACCATTCGATAGACTTAAAGAAGTCGAAAGTACAACATATGGAGATGTTACGATATTAGCAAGAGGAAGGTTATTAGAAGAATTAAAAGGATATCGCTTCACAGAAGACGACAAGTCGCATGAAAAGTGCGACGAAGATAAATGCATGAACGGTGTTAAAGCTTTCTGGACCGTGAAGCGTGTTAGACAAAGAGATCAAGAAATGTCTCCAGGCAAATACCACTATGAGTTAACGTTTTCTGTCATGTCACAAATACCAAAAAAACAACACAAGCCGTATGAACGACCAATTAGAACATTCACGGTCCAAGAGAGCATAAATGATAGAGTAACTGAACAACCTTTAACATATAGAACTGAAACAGCACCACCGCAAATATCTCGGCCTGAAAGAGCCATTTGGTTCCATAAAAACATTGGTCAAACACCTCGCTACCACAAAAGAGAAAAACAGAGCGAATTAGAAAGATTATTCTCTTCGCTATTTGATGATGATGATGATGACGATCCGAACTATGAACAACAAAGAAGATATAAACAAAACCAATACCATCCGACATATTCACCATATTCTAAAGTTAGTTACGTAGGAAGCGCAAGTTCAGAGCACAACACTCATTTAAAATCATTACCATATCCATATAAACCTCACGGTATCAAACACCAGAGCCATCCTCCGGACACCTTCCATCAACATTATTTAGAACAAGACAGTGGTTTGAATTATCCACATTTCTCACAGGCAGATTACAAAATACCGGGATATAATAAAGTAGATAGCACAACCCGTCCGGCAGTCTTACCTACGCCATTACCTCCGCTGGCTTCATCGAAAGATTCTTTTACAAAAAAGAGCACTACGATGAAATATGAAATGTCAGATATGATTACAAACCCACCACCGATACATAAACAATATAACAAAGGGAAAGCACCAGTTAAAGGTAATTACTTTCCGGAACGTTTAAGACCACCAATTTATAACGCACCTCCTGGCGTTTTTGTCACGATGGACAAGAAACCTTTTAAACCGATGCCACCGTTAAAGATGCCAGCCACGAAACCACTGAGGTCACATAAACCCATCGATTTTCGACCGAGTCCACAAGTTCTCGATGTTCAGTTTTCTGAACCCGATCCCTTGTTCGATTCTGCATTTAGGCCAATAACTGTAAATTACATCGACAGTACAAACACAACAGAGAAAGCCATTGTTACGGAAGAAAACAAATACAGCGATCATATATTACATAAACCTGTAAGCTCGAAAAGGCCTCCGAAGAAACAAAACAATATAAGAAACTATGAAATCACAACAAACAGTCCAGATATTATAACTGCTAATAGTAACGAACAAGACGATGTTATTGAATGGGCTGACATGCTGAGTATTTTTGCTAAAACTACTCCCATGGATACACATAAGGAGAAAAATAAAACATTGTCGAGTACCACACCTCTGCCAACATCTACCGCTACTATTAAAGTTAATACAAAAGAAACAACAACTCAAACTTCAACCACTACACTGCCCTCTACAACGCAAAAGCTCAAGAAACGTACTCGACCCCCGCCAAAGTTCAACAAAACGGAAAAAATCAAAAAGCACAAACGAATCACCACAACAACTTCAACATCTACCACAACATCCACAAGTGCTCCATTAACTACAAAACTTTTTAAAGAAAAGAAACGATTCAAACCAGATTCAGATGCAAAACAATCCAGTACGATTGTCACTAGTACTACAAAAGCACCATGGAAACCTTCTTCAAAAGCAACCACTACTCCATCAAGCACTATTAGTACATCAACGACAGAAAACCCACCATCAACAACTACTAAAACAACCACTAAGGCTACTAGTACTGAATCTACATCGACTACAAGACCAAAGAATATTAACCGGTTTCGACAATCAACATTATTGATTAAAGGAACATCACTAAAACACGACAGATGGAGTGCCACAAGTGCAGCGCCTGAAAAACTTCGCGGTGTAGTTTCATCGAATTATAATCAGAGAAGAAAAGGTTCCAATTTCCAAGGATATATTTCGTCTACACCTAAATATGTAGACGAAGAGCGAAATCGCCACGATCATATCGATGGTACAAGTACTATAAGACCGATTACTCAAGAGATTACGACGAAAAAAGCCGAGGTAACATCTACTGTACCAACCGTTGAGGAAAGCGAAGAAGAAATTTCAATGGACGGTGAAGAAATATCGAAAATTAAAGAAAACCAAACATCTGAAGAAACGAGAGATCAAAGTGAATATATTTTTCAATCATCTGAATCAGGTAATGACGCAAGCAATGAAATAATTGATACAGAGGCGACATTCACAACTGAAAAGATCACCACATCACAATCAACACCTAAAGGTAAGAAATGCAAGAAAAAACATCAAAATTCAACAACAACTGAAGCTATTCCAACAACAACAACAACTATCGCTCCTACCACTACAACTACAACCACTACAACTCCTAGTACACTAGAAGATCTACTAAACGACTTTTCCTTCGATGATGAATCTAAGGATGATGAAATTGCCCAACACGATACAGATAACGAAGCGAGTCAATCACAAGATCATTATTTCAAAATGAATGATGATTTAAAAGAACTTCTTGATACTATTAACAAAGACAGTAAATATGAAGGTTTAACTGACGACGACGAATATGATGAAGAGAATGATGATGATGATGATGATGATGATGACGACGATGATGATGAAAGGGAAGCAATGTTTGAAGATGAAGATATCACTTATCATTCATCTGAAGATTCACCTCGACATTCAAATGACGAATATGACGAGAAACGGCCATTAAGTTTGCTAGAATTAATGGCTATGGAATAGACTGAATATTACTAAATATTGCCACACTTATTTGCTTGATAGTTACTAAGCAGTTCCTTAGTGAAGATTTCGATTATAAATCTATACTAAGGAATACACTTACTAACTGTGAGTATGGCACATAAAAATACTCAATAAGTCAGCTTTAATACTGTTGTACAAGTCTGTACTACAGTAACATATGAAAGTAATATTGTTATAATTTAATTACAAATACGCTAAAAAAGAAAGCATTTACATTTTTTTGTTACCTGTACCTCTGTCTCTCTCGACTACACTCAGAGACAATCATTGGTTACACAAACAGTCTCTAAGTGATTTTTCACACTAATACATCAAATCTCCCTTAGTGAATATTTATGAATTCTGAGTGTTAAAGTTAATACTTAATTGTAAGCTCAAAATTCTAAGTTCAGTTTGTAAATATAATGTATATCTAGATTAGTTTAGATTAAGTTAAATAAAGTTATTTATTAATTCATTTTATTTATGTTACCTGCTCCTTCCATTGAATATTTGTAGATTGGTTCCGGTTTCAAAGGCACTAACGGTGCTAATGTTTCTGGAGTCATATCTTTTACCCTTTGATGGTATGATAACCTACAAATACAAATAAACATATTTTATTAGACACTTATGTACATAATTACTGTTACATATATGTTAAGACTCAAGTGTATGTTTTAATGGACTTTTAGCATGTTTTTTTTTTAAAAAAGCAAGGTTAAACAGCCAAATATAAAAAAACTTTAAACTCTTCCTATTATATTTTGGAAGTTGATTCATGTATAAGTATTTTAAAGTAACCATTTTAATAAGAATGGACAAACCTTAAACACTTTCCAAGAACTTCTCTTATAAATCTAGGTTTTGGATGTTCTGGGTCTAATTGTATACAACCTTCCCAATCTTCCCACGACCAGCGGTACTGAAAGTTACTTAAGTGGTACGCAAACCAGTTCACAAATCTGGAAAATTAAAGAAAAAAGACATTTAGCATTTTGTATCAAACTGTAAAGTAACCAGCTTTCGCCCGCGACTAAAGAAACTAAAGAAAAACAAAAGAAAGTAGCATTTTTCCAGAATATTCTCTACATCTATACCAAATTCCATTAAGATTTATACATCAGTTTAGGCTACAAATTCTAGCAAATATCCATCCACCAATCAAAACTTTCGCAATTATAATTCTAATAAGATTGCAAATTGTTAAAAAACTCAATATGTCATTCATTCATTCCATATATATACAAACTATTTATTTATACAGTTCTTTCTGTCCAAAAGTCGGCGTATTTAACACAAGGACCAATTTAGATGGTAGTTTGACTGGTAGATGACACATGCAAGATTATAGGCTACTTTTATAAATAATACATTAACTGTATTAAAAATATGTAATCAATAAAGATAAATTTTGTACATACCTGTCAAAGCTAGCTATATTCATTGTATCAATTCTCATAAACAAGATCTCTGTAGCCTGAGCTAGTACTTGCGGCATAGTGGACGGTTGCAGCTTACATAACTCAATGAGTATTGAACCATAACAAATCTCCAAATACCTAGGTACTGGTAAATTAAACAACTCCGCAAACATAACCTCTACTATACAATATTCTAAAGGAATCTTCGCTTTGTATGGGAAACAGAGTAATTGCGCTGCACATTCCTTTCTTTCCAAATGGTACGCTTCAATAATGTTATGCAGATGTTCCTCAATAAGAAATCTCTCTATAGAGTGTGCTCCAGGTAATACCGGACCATCAGGACAATCGGTGTAGTCAAACATTCTGAATATTACACGAGGCATGGGGTATGTGTCTCCTTCATTGTGTGGCGGAGGCTAGAAATAATATAAAACAAAAATACAGACATAAAGACACTTAATAAATTATGTTTATTACTTAAATTAATATTTAAAACTTTGTCAGATATATAGCATACCCCTTAGACACTAGTTGGATGTTAAAAAGATTTAAAGGTTTTTAAAATGTAACAAAAAAATATAGTCTTTAACAGTAAACCCCCTACACCATGAATTCTGTACACCTATATAAAATGCAAAATAAGCCCTGTAACATTAAATTTCTTACAATTAAAAAAAAGAACCCACTAATAACACTATTTATGGCTATACCCTGTTAATAACACATTCAAAAATGTTAACTCCTATAATGAGTTACCATCAACCAAGTTATAGGGGAGTATACTACATATGTAACATTCTTTTAATACAAAATTGTGTTATTGGGCTATCGTCTTATTGCTTTGCTCAACTTCCATCCACAATCCATTCACTCCCTCTACAAAACAAAAATGTAAATACCTGTATACTAGGAAGTGTGTGTTGCAAAGCTTCACAAAGTATTGAATCAAATGCAAGGTATGGTCTAGGAATGTGTTTCTCAGACCAGTTGTCCTGTCTTAACTTTTTAATTTGAGCCCATAGGCAATCTAAATATTCTTCTTGCAAGTGTGGTGAATCTGCTGACCATACTTTTAATGCCGGCCAGTGTTTCTTACTTCTTTTGTTCAGAAACACTTCAATTGTCACTAATAAATGATCTAATTGAGATTCTTTCTTTTCATATAATTCTCTACCAACCCAAGGTAAAGTGGACAAGACAGCAAACACAAACCAGTCGCGTCTGACTTGAGGAACACCGTCCTCATTCGCGGAGTCAACCAATGTTTCTAATAATGTTAGTAGTGAAGATGCAGCCAGTACATGACAATTAACTAAATCAGAAATAAATCGTAAACAGTATCTTGCAGCGTTCCACTTGCCAGTCTTTAAATTTTCTTTAAAAGTCTTTACGATGTAATCCACAAATTCACCACCAAAATTATAATTCTTAGCATTGAGTAAACCAACCAAAGTAGCATATATTGTACATTTCTCAGGCATCCGTATAGCGCATTCTGTTAAAATACGCAGGATTTTCACTCGGAAAGTACTCAAGTCAGCTTCTAAAACACTAGCTAAGCCTTCTAAATTACTTTCTAAGCTTGAACTACTTTTTTCCCCAACTCTTAGAATTAGAGACTCTAATCTATCTTCAATTTCTTGGTTCTCCGACACACGACGCCTTTTCCGATGAAGACGATCTGAAAATAAATAGTTTTTGTTGTAATGCGCCTAGTAGCAAATGATTGTTGTAGATACACATAACCTAAAATTATTAAAATGAATACCGTATCCATCTTCTTCTTCATGTCCACGTCTTCTATTCATAGTTTGGTATAGAGCAACGGGTGGATAGATGTAAAATAATCCTTGATTTATCCTTATTTGCAAATAGTAACTAAAATCGAATAATATACGTCGACAAAGAAATAAATCCAATAAAACGAAAATACCGAGATACAGATTATAACTTTTTCTGACGTTGACATCCGTTGACATATATGACATAGACGTAAAGAAGAATTAAAATATTTAGATGAATTATGAACAATTCGATACATATTTTAATTTATGATAATAAGAAGTAAAATAACTTAAACAATTGACGAAGGTTGGTGAAATAAAGTAAAAAAGAGTACTGACCAATATTTTTACAATGAACAATAACCCTATGCCCTCTGTGGATATGTCAACCGGCTTTTTGTCTATTATCTATGGTCAACTAAAGCATCAAAATAAAAACTGAAAATATTAATTTTATTCCAAATAAATGTAAAATGTTGTAAATAAGTGATAACTTCGTATAATTTTACTTAAACTAACAATAAAAAAATAAATAATGTCGTGTAATTATGCAGAAGGGCTGTCGCCCTATGAACATAAAGGTGTTCTCGGAATTCCAGAAGTATAAAATTTGTTTTAATATTTGCAGCTTTAATGACATTCTTGCTTGCTTTTGCTTTACGCATAAGGCAATTTAACTGTAACTATTTATTGTTTCATTCAGAAATTTGAAGCAATCGAGAAGTTAAATGAGAAATGTGAAATGTTAGCTCGATTGATTACGGAAAGTAAACATATTGTTGTTCATACTGGAGCAGGAATTAGTACCTCAGCAGGAATACCCGATTTTAGGTATATATTACGCAAATCTTAAGTGTTGGCTAAATATTTAAATACATTTTCTGTACTGAAACATGCCCATATTTAATTTCTTGATTTGCATCTTTTTCCAGAGGCCCTAATGGTGTATGGACTTTAGAAAAGGAAGGAAAACGTCCTTCCACAAATATATCATTTACAGATGCAAAACCTACAAAGACACATATGATATTAAAGAAATTAATAGAAAGCAATAAAATACAATACATTGTTAGTCAAAATATTGATGGACTCCACATGAAATCAGGATTGTCTCGAAAATATTTATCAGAATTACATGGTAACATGTTTATTGATGAATGCAGTTTATGTAAAAGGTAATAATTTATTACAAACTCTCTTACAGTAAAACTTAACAAAAATAGCTCTTATTAGTTATTATTTCCCCTCTTGGGGGCCCTTGTGCCTAGTCACTCCATGGAGCATTCACTGAAGCGATCTAAGACATTGGTGGCCTCTCAATCCGGTAATAATAAAGTAACAGCCCATACTGAGGCTCTTAAGGGAGCCCTCATGCTTAGTTATAAATGATATTTAGGTTAAGCGTCATCTGCAGTTGGCCACCTCAAGCCTAGTGAATCTGTAAATGCCTCTTCAAAACAAACAGTGGCAATCCAATCACAAAAAAAGATATTTTTTAACAACACCAATGTTATCAAGACTAATGATGGCTTACTATTTAGCGCTGAATTAACAAAGAGGACAGATAACAATTTTTAATATTGTTTTCTTGTTCATGTAAGATGATTTTGTTCAATATAACTTATAGACACTCTAATTTTGTTATATGTATAGAGGTATTTAATATTTTAACTCAAAAACTACTAAAACAGCAGTTACCTTTGACTTTTCTTGTTTTTAACTATAATAAAGGTTTCTGTTTAACTTCTCAGGCAATTTATCCGTAGCAGTCCTGTAGAGACTGTAGGCAAGAAGTGCAGCGGAGTGCCATGTGCGTCCGGATATAATGGTGGCAGACCTTGCCGAGGTCGTTTGTATGACGGTGTATTAGACTGGGAACATAGCTTGCCTGAAGATGACTTGTTAATGGCTGAATGGCACTCAAGGTATGTTATTACTGGCACTCAGAGTCATTTCTTGGGAACCGAGAGTTTTTAATTATATGTTTGATATTAGGATACATAAACTACATGGTTTATGGGGTGTTAAATTGCAAGTAAGGCTTGTACTATAGTATGGAAAATCACTAAATGGTTTATGCTTGTTTTAACTGACTAGCTTTTAAAGTATTTTTAGTTAAGTCACCGTAAATATAGAGCAAAATTCTGAACTTACTAACTGCATTAAAATTCTTTAAGGTTGGATATTAAGGAACTTATCCAAGTAGTATGATATATAGTAAACATTAGTGTGAAATTTAAAAAAAAATAGTCTTATTACATATTGTAAATATTTTTTCCAGTATTGCAGATTTAAGTATTTGTCTTGGCACTACATTGCAAATCGTTCCAAGTGGAAATTTACCTTTAGAGACTGTGAAGTATGGAGGGAAGTTAGTTATATGCAACCTGCAGCCTACGAAACATGTAAGTAACATATGTAATGCTTGTAAATAAAAAAGGGAGGAACAACAGGGTGTGGTTCCAACAGGGTAAGTATGCTATTTTTGTTTGTCTCTTCTTCAGTTGATTTATTTAAAGCAAATCTACAAATGTTGATTTCTATTGATATGTCACTTCGCTATTTTGGCGAATTCAAGTGGCCGCTCGTTTGTTAGCTATTAACAAAAATTACTACTTTTATACCAATTGTGTCTGTTAAGTCTAGAATTAGCTTTCTAACATAGTTAATCTGTAAAATGTTTCAAAACTTTAATTTTAGAAGTTAGGAATGATGATGAATAATATTATTATTAAATAATAATAATAATATTATTATTAAATAATAATATGGTTGTAAATTCGAATAATTAATATATTAATATTGACTTACACATGGCAGAATCACTTTTATACAAACAAAAGCCGTAATTAAAAGGGATGTTTTCTCCTTTTATATGAAAAAAAAACTTATTGACATGAATATGTTATATTTTTTTCAGGACAATAAATCAGATCTCATTATAAATTATTATGTAGATGATATATTAGAGAAAGTAATGAATATACTAAAGTTAGATATACCTGAGTACAATGAGGATACAGATCTAACAAAATTAGCTTCGACAGAGATTGTTGAATGGACTATTAAAAAAAAAGATGTGCTCGTATTGGAAAAAGTTTTCAAAGCAAAGTGTAAAGGTGTCAAGAAGAAGAAAATATTAATAAAAACCAAAAGAAACAGTACCGAATCTAATGGTATAGAAAATGGTAATTGTAAAGTAATTAAGTTGGAAGTTAAACAAGAATGTGATATAAGTGAAATTAAGTAACTTTTAAGTGATTATCATGTGATTTTTTTTTAATTTAGATAAATTAATGTATAAGCAATGAATATAGAATGAAATATTCCTTTTTATAATAAATAGTTTTATTTATTCATTCAGATATATTAAAAACATACAAATGTAGTTGTATCTGTTGACGATATAATTAACATAATGAATGACGCAATTTTTTATAATATAAAAATAATTTATCATATACAATCATATTTAAACTACCTCTCATATATTTTAACATTCAAACACTAAGAAAAATCATGATTTTTTTCATGATTCTCAAAGTAAATACATACATTGTCTTTGACTCAATTTAAAAACTAATTCTATAAAAAAATATATCACAATATCTTTGTCAAATGAGATTGGTATTTTTTTTTATTAAATAATAATCTCATTTTTTTTAATGTTTACAATTTTATTTATTGATACATTGACAAGAGAACACCTCAGGAGATCCATTATAATTCTCATATAATAACACTGGATTAAAAATTATTCCAAGTCAATAATTTGATTTTTGTAACACTATATTTAAAAAATATAATATAAGCGACTTTGCCCGCGTGGTATTAAAAATATAGCCTATGTTAGTCACAGATAAATTACCTTTCTAACGATGAAATTTTTAAAAAATCCTCCCTGTAGTTACTAAAACCTACAAAAATACAAATTCTTTTTTATAATATTAATATAGATTGGAATTCCTATAAATCTTACGAACACCCGTAATAAATATACAGTCGTGTAAAATATAAACTTTGAAATTAAACCATACCGAGATTTATGAGAGAAAGCAAGTAGCTTGAAATGCTAATATTGTAACTAGAGGTAAAATCAGATTATCCACTTGTTCAGTTTTTGCTTCAACTAATGCTGAAACAGTCGACGCGATTAAAGTGCGTGTAAGTGCATTTGGAACATCTAAAATATCTGAAAAATGTAACATCTGTTTAAATAAAGCTATCTCAGTTTTTACAATCAAAATGAGAGAGACGACATGTTTTATTTGGTAATAATAAGTAGTAAAACTCACTGAAAAACTGCAGGAAATACACAACAGCGACTTGTGATAAGATATTAAAGGATGTCCCTTCCAAAGTCCGGTTGCTATCTGCAAATGTAATTGTCAAAATAGATAATTGTTTACTAAGTATAATAAAAATCATGAAGGCAATTTTCAATGATGCACCTTTGTTTCTTAGCAAAAGACAAAAAACAGAACAACTTCTAATTTCTAATGATTCCTGAAAACCCTATCATGCTACACTTCTGAACCCTCAACTTAATTTCTCTCCATAAATCCCACTTTGGATAACAATGGGTTTAACACTGACCTCTAAATATAGACAGGCTAATAGCATTTTGTGCTCATACGATTTTCGCTTTGGTGCTTACGGTAGCGATCCAATCTATCCTAACAGTTTAAATTACTATACAAACCTGACCACCGATTCTTCCCAAAGGTAGCTCCAGCACAACTGGCCGCTGTATCTCCTACGCCGACTGCTAGCACACCGGATAGGAGGTCCAAGCTAGCAGGCTCCGGAGTTAGGATAATAGGACAAGCGAGCCCCACAAATAAATATAATGGAGTCATAGCAAATGAACCGCTGTCCTGAAAAAAAAATTATTGGCACAAAAAATGTGTAAAGGTTCTTATGAGCTAAGTAAAAACATCAAATAATGTCTTTTTGTCAATCATATTTAAAAAAAAATTACAAATGAATTATAAATGCAAATATAAGACAAATTTATTGTCACCTTATCATCACAATAAACAACAAAGGCTGATTGAAGTGTCGATGAGATCGTTTCAATTTCTGCTATTCTTAGAGCCTGAAAAATAAATAGATTTTTTTTTTTTTAATAAATGCAATGGTCTATAGAATTATAGGAACTACTTAATGGGGGTTACAATCAAGTCAAACTCAACTAAATTCTACATTAAAAACAACTGAATTAGGATTATTTACCTCAACAAATATTAATACAGAGAAACCAACTCCAGAAGCCAAGGTCATTAAAGGTACATCAGTCAATATGCCACTCAGAAATACTAAAGAAGCTAATACATGAAATGTCTTCCTTGTCACTGTGTTTGCCTTCACAGATGTTCTCGTTTGTAACAAGATCACAAGTATTGATATTAACAATAATAATAACCAAAACAAAAACAATTTCAGCTGAAAAAAAAGAATGCAAAGTTCATAATTGTCTATCTGTTCCGTGTGTTAAGTGAGTCTATGTATTCTTCTAGGCTATTCTCTAGGATGGATGGAGTTTGTAACCTAAACTGCTGAACAAATCTTGATGAAATCTGGTATAGATGTAGAGGATAGTCTGGAACACTAGGCTAACTACTTTTGTTGTTTTAAATTCCAGATGAACAGACTAGTACCAAATAAGTATTAAGAAATGAATATACTACAAACTTACTCTTACATAGTCCATAAAAACATACTCAATGATATCAAAAAGACAATTTGGTCCCAATATAATGTGCCACTTTATTAGTAAAACTATAGCACTTGCTATTACAATGGATAACACAGTGCTGGCACATCTATATTCAGGTTGTAACACAAATATTGATGTTATTATAAAAACTGTTGTTAATAATATCGTCTGAAATGAAGAGAATTTATTAAATATTTAGCATTAAAACTGTTGCATGAGTACTGAAAAACAACTGAAACTCTATTGCTAATAGTTCTCAGTTTAGTAGCAACAGGATATATGGAAAGCCCATAACATGATAACTTAAAGGTGAAGGTAAAATTAAAATATTGCATTTATAAAATAAATAGATGATTTATATTATCATTTTGTACAAGGGTGGCTAAATAGTTGATTCCAGTGGCTGTCGATTAATACTTTTTCCCCCTTTAATGAGGCAATACATAAGACTACAAAAATATTACTTATATTATGAATTATTCTGTTTCATGTAAGATTTCATTAGAATGTAACTGGTAAATTGTGGTGTCACAAGTGAATAGTAGATCTTAGATCTAACAAAGATCGTTCCTGATCTAGTAAGTGTAGATAACATAACACAAAGAAAATATCTATAAAATATACTTACAAAAACAAGAGTATTTATAAATGCATATTCTTCATTAACACCATTCAATAGACTTTGTACATATTGAATAGATGCTGCAGATACAAACAGTGGTATACTCTGTACAACCACCATCGCCTCTCCGACAGTAAATGTTTTAGGAAAATTTATGAGAACCAATTTTAATAATGAACTAAATGATGACACACATAACAATGTTATGACTAGAGATACCATTAAATCTGGAAATAAAAGAATAATATGTGCAAACTAGATTTTTGGGGTAATATTGTAAATTTATAAAAATATTTATAAAAAAATAACATACCTTGATTTGTAAATGCATAAATAAGCATTGTTGATATTAAACTACAAGCAACACAACCTCCATAATCACCCTCCATTAAAATGCTACCAGATAGTGATAGGAAGAGTATAAAAAGACTACATTGAAAGAATAAACCCACAGATAGAAATGCTACTGTCTGATACAAAACACTTGTGTTGTACCAAATTGTATAATTTAGCAAAATTAAAGGCAAAAGGATGTAACACCATAGGCCATTACTATTTGAAGGTCTGAAAAAGAAACAGAAATCATTAAAAATAATTTTTAATATCGGAAAACAATATTTCATGTATCTTACCTTGTTGCAATACCCACTGCTCTTAGATTATTGGTTATGTTTTTATCTAGCGATTTAACATAATGTTCACATAGTTTACAATAATATCCATTACTTAATTTTCTTATTTCTTCCATTATAAAATTGTAATTTAAAGAAACAGTGTTTATACACTTCTATGTGAAATTAAAAGCTTTTCAACCACGAAAATAATACTGGATAATTTTATGAACAGGACCACATTATTACAATGTGATGAAATAACACATAAACACTAGTTCAAAGTTCAAAATTAAAGGATAACATTGTAAAATATGAATAAACCGGCAATGTGTAAATATTTGATGAAATGACACTGTCACTGTCAACAAATCTAATCTTTAACGTTATGATCAAGTTATAACAAGCAAAAAACTGTTATAATGTTAAGTTAAGTTTGGTCTCGTTATGGAATACTTCATTTTTCGGTCACAAAATTTATAAAACACAGCGCTTCAAATGACATTATTATTTTTTCTCCTAACAATAGGATTAATTTACTTAACAATTTATTAAAAGTACCTACCGACGACCGTCTAAAATGCTACACTACTTTAAGCTGAAAAAACAAATATCTACTGCAATAAAAGTTATTAGGCTTTAATTAAAATACATTTATGCGAATGAAGCAGTCTTCCACCATCATGTAATTGATTTTTATTCTAATTTCTTATCAACAGTCGTTCACTTTTCTTAAAGGTGCTAGAGAAAAGGAAACAGAAATAGCGATACGATATGTTATTTTTGAAATAATAGCTGTTTTAAGCTAACTGTTAAATAGCGATATGAACGTAAACGTATAACGTAAATAAAAAAACTTGAAATCAGTTTGTTACCGGCATAGTGTGTGGTGGGTGGCGTTAAGTGTATCAAAAGAAATAAAAATCTACTCAATATGTTAAGAAACTTTACCAAAATTTTGCAAGTGCAGAAAGCGAAATTTTCGGCCGCTGCTGCACCGGCACCCCAAACAAACCCAGATATATTATACACAGGGGTAATTATTTTCCGTAACTATAGAAAACAAACCTGAATTCCGGTATGCTATATTTATAAGTACGCAGATGATTCAACTATTGCAAATCAATTTAACAGTCAATCATTATAAAGCTATAATAATTTACCTAATGCTATTAATAATTGTATACGAAGGATTGATGATTTTTTTTTAATTAAATCTTTTTATTTAGTGACGGAAATCTTACTACCCTTAATTTATTTTTCATACCGAAATTTTAAAGAAAACGTCTAGATTTTTTAATAATTTGCAATTAAAACTTATTAAACATTTTTTTAACATAAAATGCAATTAATATAAATTTTTGCACTAAAAATTAACTTATGGAATTGTGGATACTCTAGTCCCATACTACTACTTACATTTCATACTTATATGTTATATAGGTTTTTAAAAAATACTAAATACACTTTTTATAGCTGTTCATCAACAATGAATGGGTAAAATCTTCAGACGGCAAGACATTCACAACAGAGAACCCAGCAACAGAGAAGGTGATAGCAGAAGTTCAACAAGCCGGCAAAGCTGATGTTGACAAAGCTGTGAAAGCCGCTAAAGATGCATTCAAGTATATAAAAACAATTAGTTTTTAATTTATTAAGGTTTTTTTTTATAAAGAAACATATCTTGCTATATTCTCCAAAGTATGTTTTTTTTAATACTCATTTTTATTATTTTTCAAAATTTTTAAGTTGCATTACTTGCATGACTTGTAGAATTATTTAATTGTTTCCTCACAATTCCTAGTTGACTTATAAATTCAGTTTTTTAATGATAATTTTGTCTGAAATTAAGTTAAATCATGTTTTTTTTAGATTGGGATCGCCTTGGAGGCGAATGGATGCTTCAGAGAGGGGATACTTACTTAATAGACTTGCTGATCTCATTGACAGAGACAAGGTGTACATAGCTGTAAGTAAAAAAAGAAATTTCATATAAGGGATGTTTACTGGTGTTTTATTCTATAAATCAATCGGTCATAGAGGATTTTTTTTAATTGGATTGATTGATTGAACAGTTTTGATTGGTCTAATGGGAAAAATCTTATTGGACCACTGAGCCCATGGATAGGCAAAAATGACACAAAAACAAGCTTCTTTTCAAGTTTCTTCTATTTTACAATTTTTCTTTGTTTCAAAACGCCTTATGCCTTGGCCACAGGCATGGTTCAAAAAACATTACTAATAGTAGGAAAGAGAAGAGCTATTAAATTTCATAATATTGTGTGGATGTCCCATTGTGATTGTGGCGAGTTGTCGAGTAGTATTTTTGAACAATCGTAAGTTACGATGGATTGTTACCGCGATCGAATAGCTATAAATAAACAATACTTGTAGAATTATTTGAATTGCCAGTGTTTTAGAAAAAACAGTTGGTAAAAAACGATCACAGCTTGGCGACGAACACGATTCTAGAAACTCTTCATTCTATGCAGGTGCTATGCATAATGGCAATAAAAAAATCAATGTTCCCATACTATTAAAAACAATTAAATGTCCATAAAAACACAAAGTACAGTTTGAAGTAAATTAAAATATTAATATTCAAAAATATGATTTATTTATAATACAAAAAATCTGTTGAGATAACCTCATAACATATTAATTTAATGAGAACAAAGTGTCTTATGCCAAAAAACTTAATTTACATTGAATAAACATGGGAAAAAAAATACTTTAGTATTGTTTAACACATTTTTCGAGCTAAAATCAATTAAGATAACATCGACGTTGAAAAGGTAATAAAAGTTATAAAAAAAACATCTACATACTATACTATTGTGTAATCTGTCCCACATATGCGTTGTCGAATGATTTCGCGCGCCAGGTTTTGGTCAAGGTCGAGAAGATTCTATTTTTAGATTTACTTTTTTTTTAACTATTTATATTTTTAAACCGGCCAGTTCCTTTAAATTAATAAACACGGTATCCCTAATTCTCGATAACAGACGGATATGATTAATTAAACATTAAAAACTATAAAGTGTTTGTTGTATCATTTTTTATATTACATCATAGGTTTTTAAACCGTTTTATCAGTAAAAGACACTTAATCGGATCTCTATTATATTATAACAACAAATGGATAATTCTAGAGTTTTTTTCGTAACCTTGAGCAATGGCTGTCAGCATCTACTTTAATTTTAAGCAAATTTGATTATAGCCATTATTATATGATCATGTCGAATAATATTTCTAGAGCTTGGAGACTCTTGACAACGGCAAGCCATACACCGCGTCATATTACGGTGACGTGACCGCTTCTGCTAAGAACTTACGCTATTACGCCGGCTGGGCTGACAAGAACCATGGATATGTACTGCCAACTGATGGCAATTACTTCGCATACACAAGGCATGAGCCTGTGGGTAAGTTTTACGTGATTTTCAGTAATAAGTCGAAAAGAATAAAAAATGAGTGAGACTACAATGCAAAATTGACGAAAATATAACATGTCGCTCAACCGTTTTATCACAACAAATATTTATTTATACAACTAAAGCGATAAAATGTCGATACAATCCAAATAGACGGCGACGATAATAGTATAGACGTGGCCAGGGATTGGGGGCAGCTTCCCCCACTCTTAAAGGATCGAAAAAATTAAAATAGACATAAAAACTACTCGTATACCATATTAATGCATTTACCTATTCTAGAAGTTTCCAGACTTATGAGATGTAACATGAATAGACAATTTTCGTGACATTAAAAAGTTCAAGGTCAAACAAATCAAAACGCGATATCGTTTCAGCAACACAATGCTGCTGTGTTAGTGATTAAAAAAAAATTCAAGCTCGAGTGTAGATAATTTTATTGGTATAAAGCATATGCGCGGACTTTACTTAGATTTTTACGATTTACTATATCATATAGTTTGAAAATTCGCCGGTATTATAAACACATGTATGGAAAGAATTACCTTTATTAATTCTAAATATATCAAGCTTTATTATTATTGGCGAGTTATGCATTAACTCAAAACACGTTCGTGACTGCCTAATCTTGCAGTGTTTTAGAATGACTAGGCTATTTACATTCTTACGTAATTTGACGACAAAACGTGTGAATACTTGAGAATTATAATTTTGTATTTATTCGTAAAGGTTTATTGATTGTATTAGGACATTTTTAATATCGATATTGGTCGACAAATAATAATTATAGCATGTGCCAACCGCTAAGCTAATTTAGTCTTAGGGGGTGGTGTGTCTATACCAATTTTTATTAGTATTTTAAAAAGGAAAGATTTGTATTTTTGTATGTATTGAAATAACTCAAAAACTACTGGTCCTGTTGGACGGTTTCTTTCCCCCGTCCGGGGCTCTGGAGGTGTGGGGCTATTGAAACACTTTCTTCTAGTTAATCATCATTATATTTAAAATATCTGAACCATATTTTATACAAAGTTTATTAGTCCTACAATGTTACTTGTTCCGTGTCGAGATGTGAAGTCTCACTATATAAACATCAAATGTAGAATTCTTTATAATTTAATCTTCTAATATTAAAAAAACCATCATCAGTGTGTACAGTGTTGCCTGCCAGTATACAAACATATAAAAACTCCAACAGGTCCGATCTCAAAAATTCTTAAACCATAAAAAGCTACGTTATCAGTAACATAGGCTATATTTTCAATGTTTTTATTTCACGCGTGCGATTACCATATGTTTTTTTTATTCCATGTAGTTTTTATATCTATTTGATGTTATTTTATGAACAAGAGTATCTCTATTTTTGGGAGCTTATCGCGTACTAGTCTTATCAATTGAATAATGCATTGTAATATACACGTACAATATAATTATATCAAGGTCAACAAGGTCAAATTAACATAAACGTGCAGGATGTATTTATGGCTACTTATTTCGTTTTAATCCAAACTGACTATAGAGAACGAAACGTATTTATTTCACCGTAGAACATTCCAGATAAATAAATGCGTTCACAGATTATGCTCTTTTCTTGAAGAACTCTAAGTTGTAACTTCACCATTGTGACAGGCATTTGCGGTCAGATCATCCCATGGAATTTCCCTCTGTTGATGGCATCATGGAAGTTGGGACCGGCTCTTGCTACTGGCAACACCATAATCCTCAAACCCGCAGAGCAAACACCACTCACCGCGCTTTACCTCGCACAACTTGTGAAGGTAAGTGCTTGGATTCCGCGTATATACACCGATACACTAGGCCAGTACAGTTGGACAGTTGCCAGTTATTAATGTATGGACTGGTACCAGTCAGTGTTCATACTATGCCAGTTATGCCAGTCCAGTTGTAAAGCGCTACTTATGTAAGAAGTTTTAATTGAATTTATAAATAATGATATACTATTGTGTAATATTTATTGCATAACAGTTATTTTTTTTAAACCGAAAAATGTCGATCATACATTGAAGCAATAATTAGTTATATAGGTATATGACAATGTTTATTATCTAATCTACCGCTTATGTTTTGAAAACGAGGTTATCTTGTGTCATGAATGGCTCGAATTATGTCAAAATCTTTGACTTCATAAACAAGTATAGGACAACTTTTCTTATTCCTTTGTAACTTGGCAGATCAGAGATCTCGCACGAAAATTTACCTAAAAGTATTTGTTACGTTAGCGGGCCTAAAGTGCACTAACAAATTTTCGTGTTAGACCGTGCTGACCGACTGTAAAGAATCCTGTATAATTATCTGTTTTCCTGAAGATGATAATGTCTTTGTAAGGGTATTTCTGGTGGAAAACGACAAGTCTTCATTTTATAGGAAGCAGGTTTCCCCGAAGGTGTAGTGAATGTGTTGCCGGGCTTCGGAGACGCCGGCGCTGCGTTAGTACAGCATCCCGATGTCGACAAGATCGCTTTCACAGGTGAGATATAAGTTCTTACAATGAAGGGAAAAACTTGACCTCCTGTGAAGAAACTTAAAGAATTAAGTAAATTACTGGAGCACTGGAACAAATGCTTAGTTAACCTTAACTAAGAGTAAGCTTCGAACCCTTTGGTATGTTAATTTGGAGGTCCATTTAGGTCTTTTATGCAATAGTTATTGACCCTAAGATCAATGATATTGTTTTTAAACTTATTTGTCGCCGAAACTTTTCATGCGTTTCCCGATGGGACGATCAGCCTACCGATTGCTACAATTGCTACCATGAAGTAATCAAGAAATAGGTCGATTGGCCCAATAGGAAAAACGTTATTGGATAAGAACAGCCCAACGGGAAACACCCAAATTGGCCATCAATTTGCATAAAAATATCCTCATCATCTATCCAGGGTCAACAGAAGTAGGTAAGGCAATCCAGCGCGGCGTGGCGGACACCATCAAGCGTGTGACGTTGGAGCTGGGCGGGAAGTCCCCCAACATCATCCTGGCTGATGCTGACCTGGAGTACGCGGTGGAGAAGGCGCATATGGCCGTCTTCTATAACATGGGGCAATGCTGCTGTGCTGGTAAGCAACTATTCTGAAGTATGGTCTTTTGAAGACCTTTCGATCCGAATGGCATCGTTTTTCCAAGTTTTAACTTTAAATAGTGATAAAAAAGGTTTTGTTAATTATTTATATGAATATGTTCTTAAAATTTAGTCCAACTCACTAATTAATTGTCTCCCTTAGTGTAGATTAAGGAAAAACCCACACTTTATTGAGCAATTAATGACTCTGATCCCGGATTTTCCTTCAAAGTATTAAAATAAAATATACTTTTAAATAGCCTTCGTTCGAGGCTGCGTCCGCGTGGTATTAAACAAACAAAAGTATGTATCCTGTGTGTTCTTCCAGACCAACGCCCAAAAGGCAAATTTCATTAAGATCCGTTCAGCAATACTCTTACAAACATCCATCCAAACTTTCGCATTTATCATATTTAGTAAAAAGTTAGATTTTGTTCGTGAAATAAAACTTTAAATTCAACTCCCTTAGGTTCACGTACATTCGTCGAAGAATCGATATACGATAAATTCGTCGAAATGTCGGCGGAGCGCGCTAAAAAGCGGGTAGTCGGGGATCCTTTCAATTTAGCAACAGAACAAGGTCCTCAAGTAGACAAGGATCAGCACGAGCAAATACTACGTCTAATAGAAAGCGGGAAAAGCCAGGGCGCGAAGCTAGTCACTGGTGGAGGGCGCGCCGGAACTGTGGGACATTTCGTACAACCGACTGTGTTCAGTGATGTTAGAGATGATATGGATATAGCGCGGTATGAGATATTCGGCCCGGTGCAGCAGATTCTGAAGTTCTCCAAAATGGATGAATTGATCGAACGCGCAAATGATACGCACTATGGTCTCGCCGCTGCCATATTCTCTAAGGATTTGGACAAAACTAACTATCTTATACAGGTATTTTTTTATGTCTGGTGTGTTTGATTATAGGAAACGCATTTAAATATGGGCATTCGCTTCTCTATTTTAGCGAATTTCACTGTCTATGGGCATTTAGTTCTGTATTCGAATTCCGATGCCCATATGCTCGTTTGTCAACTTACATAGTACTAGCTTTTGCCCGCGACTCTATCCGCGTGAAATTAATAAAAACAAAAGTGAGTAGCCTATATGTTCTTCCAGACTATCCTCTACATCTAAATTACATCGAAATCCATTCAGCCGTTTAAGCTACAAACTCTACAAACATCCATCCATCTAAACTTTCGCATTTATAATGTTAGTAGGATAAGTAAGTAAAGTATTATGTAAAAACAATGTTAGAATTACTTCGAGTGATTTTTTTTAATTAACATGCTAAAGTCATTCATTTATTTGTATGCATTTTATTAACGACCGGTAATTATAATCACTGACTACAATAAGAACAATTAAAAGAAAAAAAAATCTCTATGATGTACTAACACGAATGTTTGCGTCAAAGTTTTCGTAACCTTAACACTTAGGTACTTCTTCCACAGTTTTTTTTTCTTGTTTTTAATAGATGTATGCACGTCCTTTTAGGGTCTTCGTGCGGGTACAATTTGGGTGAATGACTACAATGTATTCGGTAATCAAGTACCGTTCGGAGGTTACAAGCAGTCAGGTCTTGGTAGGGAGAACGGACCCTACGGCATCAAGAACTACACAGAGGTCAAGGCTGTCGTCGTCAAGGTCACTGAGAAGAACTCCTAAAATATGAAAATCAAAAATAAATGAAATCAAAAACAAATAATGAAAGGTCTGTTCAGACATAGGGATTTTTAGAATAAATAAAATCGATCTTTACTCCATTGAAATAAAGTTCAATTTGACTTTACACGTATTTTTACACTTAAAAGACGTGCACAGTAAAGTTAAACCTTGTTGCAATTGTATAAAGCTTTCATTTGATATAAAAAATGTGCTCTTCGTCTTCTGTTTGAACGGATCCTGCAAAAAGCCAATAATATCGGGTGCTTATTTTTTTTATTTCGAAAGAGAAATAGTAATTAATACTCAATTCCCACAGCATTTATCTTTAAGATATATCTTACTAATAACAACAGGACTCTTAAATATACATGTCTTCCATTTTAATAAGAGTAAAGTTATAACGAAGCTATTCACTGAGTGAATTACATAAAAACTTCGCACAATATGTTTTAATGTTTTTTATGAAATGTATCAATATCCATGTTTCAGTAAAATGTTTACTTTTATTTGTTGTTTAATTACATCTCCTTATATTATTTAAATTACTTTTAATACTTCAAGGCTTGTCGATCTTACTAAATCTTACTAAAAACAAAAATCTATTGATTGTTTAGAAGTTGGTGAACAACTTGCCGAGCCGTTACATTTCTCATTCCAGATTAATATAATTAAATTATACGTACAAGGTCATGGCTTAAAATGTTTTTTTTTTTATTAGAAATTTAGTTTTTTTAGCGTTTGTTAAAGCTAGATAACTTATATAGTCTGTCGTAAATTATTTACTCTATGGTCGATAAGTTAACGTCAAGTTGACTGCAGCATTGAATGAAGTAAATTGTCAATTTAGCTTGTAAATTTAAATAATAGTGAGAATAAGATTAACAGTTTATTGTTTTGGTGGAGGTATAGAAAGGGAGTTTCAATTAATTTGATTAAAATGGCACCGAAGTTGAAGTTTGCGGAGGGTTTGTATCCAATAATGCCAATCCATCTTGACTAATTTTACCATCGGTTTATGTTATAGAGATTTTAACCTTTTACTTTTCAGGAGAAAAGGTGTTATGTTTTCACGGTCCTCTTATTTACGAGGCGAAATGTCTCAAAAGTTCCGTAACGAAAGACAAACACGTTCGATATTTAATTCATTATGCTGGCTGGAATAAAAAGTAAGTTAATACTTTACATTTTGTGCAATAAAGATATCTCTTTATGGCGGTTATTGTCTAGTACAAAACAATAAACGAAAGTACTTTTAGATCAATAAAAAATATTTATCTAGAAGCATATTTTAGGCGGGAAAAATTAAATAGGGTAGGCTAACACTACGAAAAATCATTCTGTTTTGTTGCCTACCTTTATGAACCACATTGTTTCTTATTGTGGTAAGTTCTGGTTCAACAAATTTATATTATAACCTCACAAAATTCCAACAAAAATGCTTTATAAAATAGTTGTTAAAGTTACTGTTTTGCTCTACATTTCAAAGTTATAAATTTAACATTTCAGTTGGGATGAATGGGTACCAGAGAGTCGAGTTCTGAAATACAATGAAGCAAATGTTCAGAGACAGAAGGAAGTGCAGAGAGCTCACTCGGTACAGCCTGTTAAAACCAAAAAATGTAAGTCTTATTATTTTAAAAGCATAAACCCAACAAACTCAATGGTTCAGTAATAACAAAATCACAAAGTACTGTCCATTAATGACTTTGTATCTATCTATACTAATATAAAGATGAAAGATTTGTATTTATGTATGTATTGAAATAACTCAAAAATTACAGGGCCGAAGTCAAATTTTTTTTCATATAAATGTATGTTATCATTGGGTAATATAAGCTATATTTTGTATTATTTTTTAATTACCTATGAATGAAGTCATGAGCAACAGCTAGCTGTTGCTCATGACTCTATGTTCTACTAGTAGAAAATAATGTTCTACTCGTAGAAAATAAAGTTTAAACATAGCTTAAAATTATTACAATTACAGCCACTGCTAAAGGTCGTAAATCAGAGACAGCGGCTGGAACTCCAGCGAGAGAAGAATCCAGAGCTTCGACACCTGCTGGTAAGAAACTTACATTTTTTGTCTGGCTTATTTAAGCATTTAACCAATTTATTATTACACTATTGATTAATATACATATACTTTAACATAATGATGTCTGCAGAAAATCTATTTATAGTTTTTCAATATATAAACCTATGTTATCATCGTCAGACATTATCTGCCCACTATTAGACATAGGTCTTCTGTCTAAACCTATATGCCTTACCAAAAAAATCATAGTCATATTTTTATCTATAACTAGTAACTAAACTAGCCGTTTTTATATTATGACTAGCCCCTGGTACATGTTTTAGGCATATCATATTTATTGAAACATTATTAAGAGTAGGTTCATGAAATGCGATTTTTAACGCCAGTTTAACGGTTACTCATAGTCCTTTAATATTTAGTTAAAGAACTCTTTTCACCATTAAAATGATATGACTGTTAGTTTAAGTAAAATTTTAATCCGTCTCGAAGGACCATAATATGTTAAGTAGATAAATGCGAAAGTTAAGATGGATGGATGTTTGTTAATGTTTGCTGTCTAAACTGCTGAACGGATATCAATAAAATTTGGCATAGTTGTAGACAATAGTCCATAAATTTACAAAGGCTGTAGCATTTTGTTTTTTTTTTTTATTCCTAGGACTAAGTCGCGTGCGAAAGCTAGTAAATAAACAAAGTATTTGTACTGAATTGTTCAATGATAAATATTTATGGTAACATAAAATTGACATCCAGATTAATCAGAGGCAGTTAAACTGTTAAAGTATGATTTTCATTAATTACTGTAAAAGTTATTGGAGTAATCTGATTTACCTGTAGTATAAGGATATTATCTAAAAATAAAAATAAAACATACCAGCTATATACACTTAACAACACAATCACAAATAACAAAAGGAAAACAAACATTGTAATGCAATTATTTATCTAGTTTAATTGTTTTTATTTCAGGGAAAGATGCGGAGAGTACTCCAATACCAGCCAAGGCTACAAAAACCCAGAGCAAAGATACAACTGTTGACTCCGGCTCTGATCAACCTAAGTAAGTTATAACAATTAAATCTATACTTCTTTACTATTATAATAAAGCGTAAACACACACTTCTGTGTTGCCTAAGATGTCAGCAATTACAGCATATTTTTGGATAATTATTTTTGTAATAAAAATCCCTACACTTACCTCATGCTTTAGGCTATATATTTTCATGCCATTAAACTTAGGTGTTAAATATTTTGGATAAAAACCCTAATGTGGGAAAGAGACCATAAGTTGCTGCCAACATCAAGAAAGCAAAATTGCCATAATAAGGTAATTGGTATTTTGACATTTGCTATTGATAATTTGACAAATGTAAACAATGAAATACAATTTTCATAATTTTATGCGGATGAAGCCGCACTGGAACAGCCGGTAAGTCATAAAATAATAATTTAAACGCAAAAACTTATTCTGTTTCTATTGTTAACAATAACCGTAACTGTGCGCAATCTTGCTTCTGTGCTATTGGGTTGTAGTTATTGTCCCTTTCTCGCATGACTTTGTTGCCAATTTATTCACCCTCTAAATTTAACAACTTGAAGATAAATAGCCCATACCATGTTGTAAGTGTAAGGATTTATATTAAAAAAGAATCATTCAAAAATATACTCCGATTGTTGAAATCCTGCAAAACAAAGTATGTGTTTACTCTTTATTATCCAGTAGAACCTCAATAAGTTAAAGTCCAAGGGAACACACAATATATTAAGTTATACAGGTTTTAAGTTATCAAGGGTCTATGTGGTTTTGGGCTCTGATGGGAAGGGAACATATTGTTTTTTGAAGTTATAGAGGTTTTTAAGTTACCGAGGTTTGAGTTATCGAGATCCTACTGTATTTGTATAGACTAGCCATTGTTTCCGAGTTCATTCTCGTAAAATTTAAATTAGTAAAAAATGTAGATTATATTACTCAGTGAAAATGTTGCTTTTTAATGATGAGAGAATTTTTGAAATTGCCCCAGTAGTTTTTGAGTTATTTAAGTACATACAAAAATCCAAAGATACAAATCTTTTCTCTTTATAATATTAATATAGTGTATAGATATGGATAGATTAATGTGTTTTAATTTTTTTAGGAAAAAACGTGGACGTCTAGATCTATCTATCGAGTCTGAAGAACAATATTTAGCAAAAGTTGAAGTTAAGATCAAAATACCTGAAGAATTAAAAGTATGGCTCGTTGACGACTGGGATGTGATCACTAGACAGCAAAAACTAGCGATTCTACCAGCAAAATTAACTGTCTCACAGATCCTAGATAACTATCTCGCGTTTAAAAAATCAAGTAAGTCACATAATACAGCTAAACATTCAGTATTAGTAGAAATAACTGAAGGTATAAAAGAATATTTTAATGCAACGCTCGGTTCACAATTGTTATATAAATTTGAACGACCTCAATACAGTGAAATATTACAAGAATATCCGGACACACAAATGTCACAGATATACGGTTCGATACATTTGTTGAGGTTGTTTGTTAAAATGGGACCAATGTTGGCATACACGGCCACCGATGAGAAATCTTTGCAGTTAGTTTTAAGTCATATACATGAATTATTAAAATACATGGTAACTAATAGGTCGACTCTATTCAATTTGCAAGACTATGGTAATGCGACTCCGGAATACCATAGAAAGGTTCAGTGACTATTTGGGAAGTTATTTAATTTGGAGTAATGCTTGGTTTTTTTGGTTTTGTTAACGATTACGCAAATTACAGACAAGTTTTGCAGTTTTAAATGTTTCTGTGTCTAGGGAAAATTGATTTTACAGTCAGTTACACTGTACAGTTAAAATTCAGTTAAAACTGGCAGAAATGAATGTCTATAGCACTAAAATGTATTCAGCCTTACAAAAAAAAGAATTTATTTTTAACTTTATACCGCATTTAATTAGGCTGATGAAGTACTATACTTAACATAATTATGTATATTTGTATGGTTTAAATTGAATAGATTTTGCGATTAAATTAACAAATAATGTAAATAACAATTTGGATGTTATTCAAAAAGCACGTGGTAATTTGTTGTACCAATTTCAATTGTTTATCAGCTGAATACTGAAACGAATTTAGACTGAGGAAACCTCACTAAATAAAATAAATTGTCCATTAAATAAAATAATAATTTTAGTTGAGTTCGATAATTATATTCATAATTGTTCGCTGCGTGTTTGTTTCGTCACTGCAATACCTGTCTATTAAGTACAGCATTTGCCTTCATACAAATTCAATTCGACATTTCATATGCATCATTTATCAAACTAATCTATCTTATTTAGACACACTATAAAGCTACTTAATTCTAACTGAACAATTGAACAGTCAAAATTTTAATAAAATATTAGGCTTCTGCTGGCTTTATCATGTAACACTGTTACGTATTTAAATATCGTTTAAGTACTTGGCTGTAAAACTTCTCTGAAAGCAGTGGTTTTTTTGTTAAGATTTAAGATAAGTCACTGTTGTTATTGAAAGGGGAAACTTTGATTTTCTTAAAGATGTAATTTAATTTTTAATATAAAAAGTTAGTGTATCTGTTATTTAAAATAAAAAGCAAGACGTAATGTGTCACAGCAGTTGGATCCTATAAGAACATCTCAGTTAATTGTTATTTTACGAGTAAAATTCATTAATAAATATAGTTAAAAATATGTGATTTAGTGTTTTTTCAGTTACATTATCATGTGGAAATTTTGCGAGTGAATGTTTTAGTTATAAATAGGATAATTAGGAGTTTGTTAAACTATTAGATATATTGGTTGAATTACTAAAACTGGTCGGTGCCGTCACCGGAAAAAGTATGACGTTGTATATTGATTGGGGTCGAAATATCGATCTGAATTACAATAAATTATAACAATTTATAATACATAGAATTAGCCAAGTTTTAGTATTCTTTTAATGTCTAATTGTTGCATATCATATGTTTTATCTATGTGTGTGATTTAATGAAATATTAAGACATAAAAACAACACGTAATCAATCTTATTTTACCGTAAATTCTTACAGCCTTACAAATAAACGCGTATAAAGTTTAACTTAGGAATGAAGTGAATATAACCAAATTCTGTACTAATATTTGCTTATACTCAGTTTATTTCTAAGTTTAACTATATATCGCGTTTATTTATAAGTCTGTTAGTACCAAAATTTTTCCTAAGTGTTATAAATATGTGAACTGTAATTCTAATGTTGCACGTGAATAAACGATTTTGAAAATTATAAATGTTACTTTATTCACATGCTAGCTTTCCCACGCGACACCGTCAGCGTGGAATTGAAAAAAAACGAATAGCCTATGTGTTCTTCCAGACTATCTTCTACATCTCAAATTTCAACAAAATCCATTCAGGCGTTTAAGCCACAAACTATAACAAACATCCATCCATCCATCTATACTCTCACATTTATAACATTAGTAAGATAATCCGATAATTTACAGCCCTTAATAAGGTTTCGTGCATTGAAAGAAATATTAAATCTGTTCTTATTGCGATAATTATTGACATTACGAAAAGCCTATATTTTTTTAGTATAGTGACAATCTGAAACAACGCCATCTATCGGTATAATTTGAAAACTATTTACCAAAACGTAACAATAGATGTCGTTGAGTGTCAAAATTTGGAATCTTGATCAATTTACGCCAGGTAACGCAAAAAAAAAATTAAAGAGAAATGCGTAACCGTGTCATATTAATTAAGATTCTTGTTTAAACGAAACATATCAGCAAACGAACATTTTTTTGTCAATTATACTTGGAACTTGTCACACTAATGAGGTAAATCAAGTTAAAATATATTTCAATAATCACTTTTACTAATTACGACACACATATATTACAATAATGAAAAAACAAGTAGGTAGAAAAACCCGTAGGCTACTTAGTAAGTTTTTTTTTATTCCGTAGACGAAGTCGCGTGCAAAAACTAGCATGTTACATTTAGGTATAACACAATTTACAGTAGCGAGCTAAGCATGCAGGTAAAGTTAGGTCATTGTTTGTATTATATTAGGCATTTTGACCGCATTCTAAGGTAACTGACCGCGTCATTCTTAGATAACTAAGCCTAAGAAAACAAGCTGGACATCAACATAATCTTTAAAAACCCTTTTGCGAAGTAAATTACCTATAAAAAGAACGACTGGATGACGGCATACGAATTGCTTGTCCAAAAATCTTTAGTTGTCAATTTACTTTAGTTGTTGTATTGTTATTTATAAAAATCGTATTGTTACCTCAAGGTCAAACAACATATGGTGTGGTAACACGAATGCTTAAGAGGCAAAAGACTGGAGCCTCGTATCCTCCAGACGCGATAATAATGAACGCAATTGTGTTATAATAAAGAAATTCATACGATCGCTTTCAAAGCTACTGTGACCATGAATTTTGTGCCCGGACTTATGGAATTGAATCCTTTTTTGAGTAAGAAGGTGAACTCGCTTAGCAAAAACTGAGCCTGTAAATTTTTGCATTAAGTACTGTAAGGTTGCAGTCCCTGATTTGAGAATGTACCATTTCAATATTTAAAAACCTTCATTTATTTATGAATAATTTGTCTGTAAATATAATAACCCTGTTGGAAATTATTTATTACTGACTGATATTCGCGACTTCGTCTGAGTGGAATACAAAAACAGTAGTCAATGTTATTCTGTGGTTACGCAGCTTTTAATGGTGAAAAAATTTTTGAAATCGGTCCAGTAGTTTTTAGATTTCTGTATGTATTGTAATAACTCAAAAACTACACCATACATAAACCATTATTGACTATTTCTGAAATATGCTAGCATTAGAGTTTATTTACAACAGCTACTTCCATTGCGTCGTATTTTCTGTCCTGTATATTTTTAAGTGAATATGGCTACATTATTTTCAATTGTCGAAGCATTATCAGGGTCTGCGGGCGCCTTAAATGGTAAGGAAGCAGGCGCGAGGCCGCCGGCGAAACGGCGACAGATACCTGACTATTGCGAAAGCACGAGGTCTCTGGACATCTGGGACTTTTGGTAAATGTAACCAAAAACTTCTATAGTTTTATAATAAAGCGTAACACACTTCTTTGTTTTCTAAATTGTCAACAATTACGGCATATTTTTGAATAAATCTTTTTTAATAAAAAGTCCTACACTTACGTCACGCTTTAGGCTATATATTTTTATGCCAGTAAACTTAGGGGTTAAATATTTTAGGTAAAAACCCCAATGTGGGAAAGAGACTTATGTTGCTGCCAACATCAAGGAAGCAAGATTGCCAAGGTTTGTAATGTCATGTCATTTTGACATTTGTTATTGATAATTTGACAAATGTAAACAATAAAACAATTTCATGCGGACGTAGCCGCACGGGAACAGCTAGTACGTACTAATTGTGGTAAAAGGATGAACAATGTTTTAAGGAAAATACTTCTAGGTGACCTAATGAATATTGGAATGCAATTCTTGTGTTGGAAATGTTACCTTTATTATAAATGCGAAAGTTTAGATGGATGCTTGTTAGATTACCTTAAGCCGATGAACGGATCACGATGTTTGGCGTAGACGTAGAGGATAGTCGGGAAGAACACAGGCCACTAACTTTTTTTTTTAATTGCACGACGGAGTGCCGGGAGTTAGCCACTATTGAATGAAAGTGTGAAAAGAAACCATTGGCTTTTCATATTTTTTGTTTATTGTAACGCTTGAAAAGGTAACAAGATAAACTTCATACAATTCAGTATTCAGCGGAATTTGAAGTAATTTTTGCTTTATGTTCTTACGTTTATGTTTTTAATAATTTTGTATCGTTGAATTATTTAGATCGAATTTCAGAATACCCTATTGAAAAGACGGAGGAAAGGAGAATTAAAATTTTTAAGATGCGTATCACGTCGGAATTAGGACAATTTAACTCTCCTCCGTTTTCAATGATGTACCACAGAACAACCTAAATTTAAACGCGTCTGCGTCGACGCTAAAATAACTCTTCGTTCATCCTTGAGCTGTTTCGATATGTTACGAATACATTGACGGTTTGATAACCGAATATTTAAAGTTATTTGCAACATATTAATGTTTAAAAACATTTACATTTTAAAGTATTCGTAAGAGATTACAGGAAAATACTTCAACTAAGTTGAACAAGAATTTTAACTAAAAGCGGAACTATATTAGTAAGAATAAAGTCGTAAAATTCAATAAAGGAAAGATAAGTATGGATTTCTTAAAATATGCCTCATATTTAATACATATACTATCAATAATTATTTTTTAAAGAAGTTGGTATCAAATGACAATGTTTTCATCTTTCTAATTCGATAGTAATCTATAGATATAATAAAATTGGAGTGTCTGTTTGTAATATCAAAAGAAAAAACTCAGGATTTCGGGAAGATGATGTATTTGCGTTGCTGATAACTAAAATGGCATTTAAAATTTTTTTTCGGTCTGTCAGCGTGCGTTCGCACGGGCAGACTTTGT